GCTGTTCTGATTTGTATTTTGTTACTCTGGCACAACAATTTCCTTCGGGATAAATAAAGTCTTATCTTATCTTATCTTACCTCTTTGTGTTCTCTCAGTCTCTGCACTCGACCTTCCTACTTTCAATATTGCAAGCTAAACACTTTCTCATGTAACTTTTCCTTTCATTTTCCTGTCCTCCCCATCAAAACTTGGGGGGGGGGTTATTGAGTCTATTTATTCCAAAGTCACAGCCACATAAAATGAGCACAATAAGCTTATAATGTAATAATAAGAATCAGTCTTTCTAATGTTATATACAAATAGACTCCAAGTTGCTCTTAGGGAGCGGACCTTCAGCTCGTTAAAGCCAACCAATTACACGTGAATTATAGCCTGATTCAACACAGAGCCGAGACACGGAACCCTTGGTCAAANGAAGGCCGGTGCGATGTGCTGTTCTGACTACCTCTTTGTGTTCTCTCAGTAGAAGAAAGTTTAGCTTGCAATATTGAAAGTAGCAAGGTCGAGTGCAGAGACTGAGAGAACACAAAGAGGTAGTCAGAACAGCACATCGCACCGGCCTTCACTTTGTATGGGAGCCGCGCTCCCCCGCAAAGCTAGGAAGCAACATTATGGTTTCCCACTATATCTGAAGAAACGTTAGAGAAAACAAATTAGTATGATGGTGCCAGAGTAGGGAGGGACTTCCACAGGCCGGCCGAATGCTGATTGGAGGATCGTGTTGCCAAGAGACTCTATCTGAGTCTGCGCACCAACCAAAGAGAGCCAAGTCTAAATCATAGTATCTCTTCAGCTAGTCTTGACCAATCATAAATGTACGGGCAAAATCTGAAGATTTTGTTTCTTTTAGGACTGAAAGATGGCGAGAAACACTTATTTTCAGTGGAGTGTTTTCAGTGGAAAATAATGGATGTAAATTTGTGAATAATGTTTGGTATGTTCTTATAATCACTGATCACCTGAAGGTTTTCTTCCCCATTACAGGATTGTGTTACACATGAGTTCATGTGTAAGAAGGGGGAGTGTGTGTATAATGTATTATATTAACATGGCTGTCAAATTCCCAATCTACATTTTTCATTTAGGGATTGAAAGAAACCTGCCGCCCCAACTCGGATGTTCAATCTGACCATTGATTGACAGTTTTAGAATGAACCTGCTCCATGTCTATAAGACACTGTTTGATGAATGTTGACATGTTTCTAAATATTGATTGAATTATAACAGGTAACGCAGATGCAGAAGCAGTGGCCAAGGGGCTACTGTGAGAGATGTAATTCCAGAATGGGAATACCAAAGAAGTTGACCTGTGATAATGAAACCATTTTGTAATGTGGATTTTTTTAACAGATATTAGAGTAAGTGGGGTTTGAAATGTAGAAAGAACATATTACAGTTAAGTTAAGCTAAAAAGACATAGTAATGTAATGAGACATAATTTAATTTAGACAACATCCTGTCTCTAGCCTGGTAAATAATTAGAAGTAAACGCCATATACTTTATTTTTTAGGTCATTATGGGGATAGAAATGAATTCAAGACTAGTTGCACAAGGGCAATTTAAATTCATAATAGAAAGACATTTGATGACAGTATGATGGAATTCTGTATTCATTTTTTCCGCTTGATAATATCGAAGCACTGACAGGTAGAAGCAGTATTGCCAGGTGCAATCCATGCACTTTGACAGTATCATGATTTTAGTTGTTATTGAATCCATAACATTAGTGTGTCTACCAGAAACATTAGCAGTTCATTATTATATTTAGATTTTTAAATAGGATTTCAAGGATTTGATTTAATAATAACACAGATGCTTGTCAGAGATTCATAGCTATTGAAAGTTATTTAGTTCACCTAAAGATGTTGGAGTTTTATTTTGTTTGTAAAATTAATATAGAAAACATTAACATTAGAAATAATAAGCATACCATTTATAATTTACAGAGATAAGAAAAGACATGTGGTTTAAACAGAAAATGAAGTTGAAGAGAATGGGAGATTTAAAGAGAAAAGTGTAAATGAAAGAGCATGTGTTTGACATGTGAAAGTATGACATGGTACTAGAATATCTTATGAACAATCAAAGGGCTTTAACTCAATCTTAAATTAACCATACTTGCAGAACAACCCAGACTGCAGAACTAAATGGTCCTAGGAGGGAGTTTTTAGCTAAAGACAGCATTAGATTGCCTCCTGATGAGTTTAAAGATAGAAATCAAATATCAGCAGGTTTTGAATTAATATTCCTCTGTCACACAATCAACAAGGATGTGGATGGGATGAACTATATCTAATATAACTAGCAGAGATTCATAAATTACACCAGAGACGCAGTAAAAAGAAAAAATAGACGTAGATTAGATTCACACCTAAAAAGGTGTGAAAGGGTTCAGAGCGGGTCATTCTGCTGTTGGTTCTGGGACTGGTGTTGCTTGTGTGGAGTCTATTTTTATATAACATTACAAGACGGATTCTTATTATTACATGATATGCTTATTGTGCTCATGAGATTGCTATGACTATAAAATAAATAGTCAAGATCACCAATCCCAAGGTTTGATGGATTGGATAGGAAAACAAAGGGAAAAGTCTCATAAGAAAGTTTTAGCCTGCAATAACAGAGTAGCAAGGTCAGGTGCAGGCACTGGCAGAATACAAAGGTTATTCATAAACAGGACATCACTCCGGCCTTGAGTTGTATGGGAGCTTCGCTCCCACACATAGCTAGGAAGCAGCATTATGAAGATTCCACTATATCTACAGAAAGCTTCAGAAAAAAACAAATGATGTATGATCGCCAGAGTAGGGAGGGACTTCCACAGGCCGGCCAAATGCTGATAGGAGGATCGTGTTGCCAAGAGACTTTTTTCTAAGTCTGTGCACCTACCAAAGAGAACCAAGTCTAAACCATGGTATCTCTTCAGCTAGTCTTGACCAATCGTAAATGTACGGGCAACGGCCTGTGTAATAAAAATGTATGCACGCACGAGGTTTGAGGCTCTTGTCCGGAAATAGACTGTCAGATTACAGCTTTGCTGTCTGTGAATTCTATGACGTGACAGAGTCCTTGGCCAAGTGATATATATCTTTTGCTCTCTTTACAATAAATAGTTCCAAAACACCATAGAATAACTATAAAAATACTGATAGTTTTTTTGTGGTATTTCTATAGTCATTCTTAATAGTAATACTAGCCTATAGTGTTTTTTTGCAAGGAAATGTACATGGATACATTTGAATGGTGTGACAATGTCCTATTTGATTGGATTCAAATGTACAGTACATATTCTTCCTGTTATGTTTGCCTGCTTTATTTTACCTAATGCAATATACGAGCCTCTGTTACTGCCTGTAGCTAATGAGATTGTCTTATCATCTCCTCAATGTGTTCCATCTGCCGCTGCGAAAATGTGGGGCAGAGCTGTAAAGTGGGGGGGTACCAATGGCCCCTTGGCCCCCCTGCTTCCGGCGCCCCTGCCCCTGGTTTGTCCCCTACTCTAACTGCCACATGAGAACAACTCAAAATCAATTGAAGCATATTTAAAAACAGGGACATTTCCGGGGACAGATTGACCCGGGGATTTGCCACCAAAGCCAGGCGGGCATTTGGTATGATCACCATAGCCATATTACGAGGCCAGAGGGCTGTCCTTTGCTTTCAGCTGTCAGATTGTAAACCAAGTCACGTGACTGGGGGCAGTTGACAGCGCTGACAAGTGTTGTTTCTCAATGTCAAGGAAGGATGCTCCAGAGCCACTATTTCAAGGATGCTACGTCATCGAGTCTCGCCGAAGGACTGTTCCAATGTCCAGGCTCCTTGGAATTCTACCGAGCCCAGCGTCCTTCGTAGCGAGACATTTCGAGGCTGCACATGTGTATCCACCGCGGTCTTAAAATCCCCACAATGCTTTGCGCACGGACCAATTTCCAAATCTTTGGCGGAAATCGCGCTCCATTTAAGGCGGGGCCTCGCATATGATGCACACCTGCACACCTGTTAGCCTGTTCCACCATTCTTCATTTTCTGAGGCTAGGAAGGATTCTTGCCTCGCTTCTGAAGGAAGTGACTCGGAAGACATGTCCTACCAAGGAAGTGTCCACGACATTGAGAAACACCCAAGGTGTGTTTTATCGCAGCGAGACGCTACAATACTAATTGTGGGCTTATCATTTTTGATTCGGCCAGAACAGAAAAAAAACAACCTCTTGCTCTCTCCAGAGGGGCAGGTCAGCCAAAAAGGACAAAAGGGCCATTGCCCTTGCCCGGGCAACATTAGCCCGTACCTGTGCACGTCCCTGAGAGTTAGTGTTTTTGTGTATACATCTGCTGCTTCAGTATGTCAGTGATATCATGAATGAACCCTGTTTAACAGTGCTTTCTTTGCAAACATGGCCCTTTTTTTTATTATTCTTGATGCTTACCAGGGGCTTGCATGTAGCGTTATACTTTATATGCTGGAGAGGCAATCTCTTTTTGAAGTCCTTGATACATCATCACTTAATGTTTTTTTCCTTTCTCTTCGTCATTTAGAGTTGATCCACTATAGGTATTCTGCATTGTTCTTATAGCCTCCACCAGCACTTACACTTGTTTGGTCCATCCATATGTTAACTTAAGTGATAGTGGTCAAGGAGCAACCTCTTTTTATCTCTCAAAATTAAATTGAAAACAAAGAGGTTTAACAACAAATGGCTTACAAAAAATAAAATAATATTATACTAAGTCCATAAGCTCTCAGTCTTAAGGGATAAAATGAAACAAAATGTATTTTAAATGACACATTATAGATAAGAAAAATAGTTATGCTTATGAGAGGTTAACTCAGTTGAAAGCACGCCTGGTGTGTTTGTTACTACACGTACTATCCAGGTTAATAACAAATAGGCCTGGAGATATAATTGTGTTAATAGTTGTGAGATTACAATCCTTTAGAACTGAATAGACCCAGTGGGGCCAACCTCTAGAGGGCAACAACTGCATCGGCCCTGCCACGTCCACGTGCTAGAAGAAGAGAGATTGTGACGTCAACGGATATAAACAAAGGCAGGACGCATAGCTGCAATAAACTACACTCTTTTAGTATTTACATGTAAACAGTACCGGGAAATTGGAAACCGACTTGTCTAAAGATGGAAAACGGGTTATTGATGCGAGTGAGTGTTTTTACCGACCAAGGAGGCAGGAAATACATGGAAGATGTGACCGAGGTCATAGTAGAGCCCAAGCCGGGAGAAGACGAACAGAGCCCGGGTGAGGCAGAAGACATCAATGGGGGAGACTTTATGGTCAGTTCTCCGGCTAAGGACACGCATCAGCACCAGACTGATGAACCAGACACCCCCCCACCGGTTTCAGATGCAACGTGTGAAACTGTGCATACGACAGACCAATGTGTGTTATTGGAAACATCTTTACCAGGAGGTCAAAGCCCGCCGCGGGCTGAGCAGAGCCCCTCTGGTCCGTCCCGCCGCTCCGTGGCGTTCTTCGCGGTGTTCGATGGGCATGGAGGCCGCGAGGCAGCGCAGTTTGCACGGGACTATCTTTGGGAGTCCCTGAAGAGACAGCGGGGCTTCTGGTCCGACTGTGACCAGGAGGTCTGCTCTGCAATACGCAAAGGATTCGTAGCTTGTCACCATGCTATGTGGAAAAAACTACGTAAGCGTAACACTGTACTGTGTAGTCAAATAATGTTATCAACTTTCAATACCGTCCATTGTTATGTTCCTCTCCCTCTGTTTGAGTAGCATGAACATCACAAACCTCACAACAGGACTGTGGCCTAACGTTAGCACATCAGAAAGTTTTATGGCTACTTCTTCGTAGAGCTTGCCCCTACGAAAGCCGAACAAGGAGACTCAATGGGCTCAGTCAAGTCTTTGATTGTCTTTAAAAAAAAAATTAAAATAGGCTGACCTAGACCAATTGCAACAATGTTTAGCCTTAGTTTATTTTGCTTTTTAAATATACATTATTAATTGGTTTAACAGTTGAGCCAGCGCCGTATACAGGCACTGAGTTGAGCAACCAAAAGCACAACAGCTGACAAAGTTAGCATTGGCCACCGGGTTCAAAGACAAAACCTGCCCCATGTACGAATCTTTATATATACAGTCTATGGTACGAATTCAGAAGTCTGTTCACAAGTTAGTCAAGCAATATTCTATTGTTTTTTAGGACTGAAAAAACGTGTGCTGTTATAGCTATATTTTGTTACGGTTAAATGTTTCATTATTACCCATTAAATAACTTATTGAATCGTGAATTAGCCAGTGGGTGCTATAACATAGAGACACAGGCTGTCTCCCTGGATATGCTTGGGCATGTCAGCTGTTCAACAGCTGGTCAAATAAGGTGTGTACGCACAGTGTCTCTAAAGCGCATGTCAGTAACACTGATTACATCGGAAAAGACTTGCTCCACGACATACTTCAATGTTGTCATCAGGCCAATTAATCAAACAATCAATGATAGAGATTAGCAATAGATAAATACAAAAAATTCTGTGCTGTTGTTTGTGGTGCAGTGTAACCCAGGGAAATAAGAAGTGAGCCGTTTATTTGCAGTAAAGGTCAAAATTAACAACAATGTTCTACATTTAATCTTCTCAGCTGAATGGCCAAAGACGCTCACAGGCCTTCCCAGCACATCGGGCACCACAGCCAGCGTCGTGGTCATCCGAGGGAACCGCATGTATGTGGCCCATGTTGGGGATTCAGCAGTGGTTTTAGGGGTCCAGGATGACCCCTCAGTCCCATTCATCAGAGCTGTGGAAGTCACACAAGACCACAAACCTGAACTACCAAGAGAGAGGGAGCGTATTGAAGGTCTGGGAGGAAGGTAAGACTTAACCCACAGCCACAACACATCCTGTCTCTTCATTATTTTAAAACTAGCGCAGTGCCTGCTCTGTATGTACTTGCATTGCTGCTTTTTGGGTTTCAAAACAAGTCTATGCACAATTTGTGCTGCACAAACTTATGTTAGAAGCACTACAGTCAAATCGTTATGCGTGCAAAAGCTCCTGTAGTCATTTTAGAGCTCCAATAAAGGCAAAGCCCTTTTTAAATGTGTAATGATAAAGTCACATATAACAGCTATTATGGATGGTCATGCAACATGTCCAACACGCACGCACGCACACACACACACACATACATTTTTCTACAATGTGTGATGAGACTCAGGATTTTGATGTGTATCTATTTGCAATCTTATGGCTGGGAGCTGTAGGGTCGCCGGTTCAAGTCCCCGACCAGACCTAAATATGGACTGTGGACTGCTACTTGGAGAGGTCCCAGTTCACCTCCTGCCCTGCCGTGGTGCCCTTGAGCAAAGCAACGGACACCCCCCCCCCCCACTCCCATTGCTCCCCGGGTGCTGTACAATAGCTGCCCACTGCTCCTAGTACTAGACTCCTGGTACTAGGATGGGTTAAAAGCAGAGGACACATTTCACTGCGTGTGCTTTGTGCTCTGCATGTGTGACCATTAAAGAGGGTTTCATCCCTCCAATTCTTCTTCTTCTAACCAAAGTCCGGATACACACAAATACACATGCATACAAACGTCTGTTGTAATGGTAATGGTATAGTGTCTCTTATGCAGTGTACTTCCTGCATTCGTAAACTTATTTTCAAGCATCTAATTGCACAGAACACAAAACAATAACATTCTTAAAATCTTGTTGCTAATTGGCTGTAAAGTTAATAAACATACATAGCGGTTGAAATTCTGAGTAAATGTAACTATGTTTCTTTGACCAGACACACGCTTGTCTTGTAACAGTTTGTTTATTCTCACAACCCCCACCAGCCCTGTCCAATCCACAACAAAGAGGCAAAAAAAAGCTTATTTTTTGCACAATAGCAGATCAAATCATGTTATCTGTCTCAAGAAATAAGGTCCTTTATACTGTCTGTGGCATGTCTACTGATAAGATGTTTTTGTATGATAGGTCCCTGGATGGCTTTACAACAAAAATGTTTTGCTTACATTTAATGCAAAATATCCAGCCTTGGCTATCAGGGTTGAGCTTTTATTTTCTTTGACTTGCTCGGTAGGAAGTAAGAAAATCTGAACGTAGAAGTGGACATATTTATATACATTATAATTAATTATATTTATCTCTGTGTGCCTTATTTGATGTTAGCTTAGTCTAATCCACGTAATTGCAGCTTTGCAATAATGTCTAAAGATGCTTTCTGAAATGTTTGAATACCTCAAATGTGGCAGCTTACCTCTTCTTCTTCTCCTCCCTCCTCCATCTGCTTTCAGTGTTATCAAGAAATCTGGAGTGAACCGGGTTGTCTGGAAAAGGCCAAGGCTGAGCCACAACGGCCCAGTGCGTAGGAGCACCGTCATCGATAATATCCCATTCTTGGCAGTAGCCCGTGCTTTAGGTAGGAAAAGAACAAGCCCCTATTTCGGTGGCCTGAATTAATGCATGTTTTGGGTTATGTTATAGAAAAGTTACAAACTATCAGTACTATAAGTCGTGTTTATAATAATGAGCTAGAGGTTTTGAACCCCCAATGGACAATAACAGTTGATCTTTAATGTACTTAAAAGGAAGAATTCAATGAGGAAATTGGGGACTGATAACTTGTGCCAGAGAAAAAAAAATGCTATTTTATTAATGATTTCTCTTTTATTTGCATTCTTACAAAATGTGTTAAAGCTTTCCATCATACAGTTGTTGAAATGCTCTACAATTTGACACCGACACTTGCTCTTTTTCAATTAGATGTTTATAGAGAATGTATAGATAAGCAAGCCAGTCCCCATGGACTGAGGGTTAGGTCCAGTGGTGCTTTCAGCTAAGTTTCCTTTTCTGTAACAGGTGATCTGTGGAGCTATGACTTCTACAGCGGGGAATTTGTGGTTTCACCAGAGCCGGACACTAGTGTGATGATCCTTGACCCCAAAAAACACCGCTACATCATCCTGGGCAGCGACGGTCTGTGGAACATGGTACCACCTCAAGACGCCATCTCCATGTGTCAGAACAACGAGGCAACGGTGAGTGGAGAGCTACAATAGCAAGGTTCAAGGTTCTTTATTTAGTCATACAAATATAGCTACAGTGTAGTTATGCCGATAAAAATCTTAGGTCACAGGCTTCTCCAACAGTGCAACACAAAACACAGATAAACAGCAACATATAGTGCAAGTAAATAGTAAATACAAAAATACATTTAAAAAAAAAAGAAAGTGAAATAGTGCAATAAGAGTCTATATGCAAGTTATTGGAATATGATATATCAGGTAAATAGATAAATAATTTCTAAGTAGCAGCCAGATGAATATTATGGATGTTGTTTCAATAGTTCAGGTGTTTAACAGATTTTGTTTCAGGTGTTTAGCAGTCTTATTGCCTGTGGTATGAAACTGTCCCTGAATCTGATGGTTTTAGTCCGGATGCTGCGGTAGCGCCTGCCAGACGGCAGCAGACGGAACAGTTTGTGGCTCGGGTGATGGGGGTCTTTTATAATCCTGAGGGATTTCTTCCTGAGCCGCTGAGAGTAAAGGTCCTCCATGGATGGCAGCTCCATTCTGTGCAGTTTTCACCACCCTCTGTAAAGCCTTACGATTGAGGGCGGTGCAGCTGCCGTACCAGGCCTTGATGCAGCCAGTCAGGATACTCTCTGTGGTGCACCTGTAGAAGGTCAGGATGCTCTCTATGGTGCACCTGTAGAAGGTTAGGATCCTCTCTATGGTCCACCTGTAGAAGGTCAGGGTCCTCTCTATGGTGCACCTGTAGAAGGTCAGGAAACTCTCTATGGTGCACCTGTAGAAGGTCAGGATGCTCTCTATGGTGCACCTGTAGAAGGTCAGGATGCTCTCTATGATGCACCTGTAGGTCAGGGAACTCTCTATGGTCCACCTGTAGAAGGTCAGGGTCCTCTCTATGGTGCACCTGTAGAAGGTCAGGATCCTCTCTATGGTTCACCTGAAGAAGGTCAGGATGCTCTCTGGTGCACCTGTAGAAGGTCAGGATGCTCTCTATGGTGCACCTGTAGAAGGTCAGGATGCTCTCTATGGTGCACCTGTAGAAGTTGCAGAGTATCCTGGAGCAGGCAGAGCTTGCTTTATTCATGCTTCACTAATAGTTGCTGATGTGACATCCAGTCATTTACGTATACAGGTATAGCTCAACACCTTTTCTCTCTGTTGATAAGATCTCGTCCAGTTTTTGGTATGTTTGAATGTCATAGAAGCGTACCAGTTCCGAGAAATTGAAGTATAAATACACGCCTTAGTTGAACCCAGGCCATCTGGGTAAAGAAATTGATCTCATCCCTCCTTAACAACCAGCATCATGACAAATATTTGAAGTTCTTAACCACATTGTTATTGGAATGTTCGATTTTATTTTAATAATGGTTATATTAAACTCTAGTGTGATGCGGTTAGATGATTGTGCTAGAGGAGAAAGAAATCACTAAAAGTTACAATATATCAAACTTTATTGAGAAACTTTTTTGAAACATAAAAATCTACTTTTTATACGATGGTCATACTAAAATACAACTTTAAATCCAACTTATTATAAAATATAAACACATCTTGACAAACAATTTAGGGACATTATCCTCAGCACCTTACAGTCTTATGGTTAAAGAAAACGAACAATTGTACTTTCACTCAATATGATAATAAAAAAATAAAATTCCTTCACAAATGTATTTTGGACCGCATTCCCCAAATGATGATGGACAAATATCAAGAATGTACATTTGCTACTGTATGATCACTGCATGATGGGGCGGTGATTCCCAAAGATCTTAAGATAGTCTTCCTTTCAAAACGTTCGTCACTAAAGTACGGACTGAGCCAATGCAATGATTCTTGCCGTCTTCGCCCTCTGTTAAGGAGTCGTCCCTTTTCGTTTGTCAGCAGCCTTTCCCCCTTCCAACTCCTTCTACACTGGCCAGAAAGAAGAATTTAAAATTCAAACTCTTTGTAAAAAAAGGTGCACTATGCCTTCACAGAGTGGGCAATCATTATTTTAAAGTTCAGCCAGGAGGAATATAGAATGTACCTGATTAGTATTATTTGATGTTGATTCAGCTGTCTTAATGTAACTCTTCCCCCAAGGCTTATCTGGGTGGGGACGCGAGGGTTTCTTCCAATTTTTGAACAAACCTGAAAAAAGCAGATTAAGAG